AAATAGGCCAATAAAACTGACAGCAAGAAACAGAAGAAAGCGATGATTGTAATAGAGGTGTTTGTGGTGAACGACACATTGATAGTAATAATTATATTGATCAGCGATGATGAGAATCACAATGGTCATCACGATGAAGGTGGTAATGACAGGGGCCTAGTTGGCAATGATGATAATGCTGCTGCTGGTGATGATGACAATGATAACGATGACCACGATGACGATGACGATGATGTTGACCATGACAGCGATGCTGATGTTGATAATGACGACGATATAAACCCAACCGGTAAGTGACGAACTGTATTAGGTGTGATAAGCAAGTCATTAGATTCTTCAGACTGAAAACATGTATCTGCCCAGTTGTAGAAGTGCGTGCTGGTGACTGCAAAAGCAATCTCACAAAACTGATAGAGAAAGTGGGGAGTGGTTGGTACCTGGCGGTTTTTGAAGTTCAGTACCGAGTTAAAGATATCATTTTTGCCTTTTTGTGTAACAGCACTGGCAGATTTAATCCCAGACGCCTTGGAGACGAGAGACTGACCGTAGAAGAGAGATCAAGAAGAAATTGAGATGAACTTTTGGCTTAATACTTATCTACTTATCTGCTAGAACTTCGACTAAACGTTAGTACTAAATTCAAAATGACCGCGCAGACAGAAAACGGTAAAATAAGCTTTTATTTATCTTGAATTTGATGTGAGAGGTTCATAAGCAAAAACGATCCGAGAACTGAAAGTGAATCGTGAAGGGGTTATACCGGCGTTAAACTGCCTTCAATGCAAGGTAGAAAAAGCCAAAGTAGAGAGGAGTGATGGTGGAAACAGATAAAGAAATACAGGCCAAACTTGTTTCAGGTCTAAAGAGAGACTAACTCTGAGATTAAGAGCGTGAACGAATTTGTTAACGTCATTCGAAGGAGGACAAAATTGCTGACTTGGAATGAAGTTAAATGCAGTGCTAATGAATATCTCACACTGTAGGACCATTCTTTTTTTCTGAAATGCAAATCAGTAAGCCATGGACTGAAGGGTGGGCAAAAAGAACTGCTCACCTAGCTAACGGTTCCCCAGTAAGGAAAAAAAAATATATAGGGTGACCGTTTACACTTCCTTAATTCCGTTTTAAAAATATGGATTAGTTCACTATTCCCTCTGTTGTTGTCCACTTTACATCACTTTTAACTCAGTCATGTGAATCTTTTTTCTTTTTTCGTGTAAAGTTCAAACATCCAGTATTTGTTTTTACACCTCCCCTCACCCTCACTCAGAAACTTGACTTTTGCACGTCTTGTGTACCTATGTTTAGTTTAGAAGATATTTTCCGTGTTTAAGGTAAACTGTTTTTTGCATGTAAGGTGTAAATTAAGCAAAGAAATAAAGCAGAATGCCA